GAATTGAAGCTGCAATCTTTAGTGCATTTACCTAGAAAGATCCTAATGTACTGTAGAATGATTTCACATTCCTCTAGAAATTTAGTAAAATGCCCTGGACGTTGTTCTTCTAATCCGTTATATTTGTCATAGTATCACCACTATCAGTATTGTATGCTTTGAACATATCCAGTGTTTGGGATTCCTCATAGATGAGATATAGGTGGCCATAGTGAGAAAAAATCGTCTATAAAAGTAATAAATGAATGTTGACCATTCCTAGAAATCGAAGGGAATAGTCCACGGATATCCGTATGAATTAGTTACAAGATGTCTGAAGTCATATGGCACCTAATCTCCTTATATTTGTTTGTTTCCCCTCAATGCAATTAATGTAAACACTTAAGTCTGAAAAAATTAAGGGAATCAAGAATTCCTTCTAACACAAGATTTTCCTTTCTCTTTTGAGAGAAGTGACCTAATCGCTTGTGCTATGGCAAAGTAGAGTTCTCATTAGTTAATTTATGTTTAATACCACGTGGATTCACATACAAGATTTCTTTATAAGAGGCAACCGTATTAAACATATATAGATTATCGTTACCAGATAAAGAACCGGTGCCCACAATATTTAAGGTAAAAAAAAGATCAAACTGACTATTTCAAATTGAACAAGAGTAACCAAATTTGTCCAATATAGAAATAAAAACAAAATTTCGTCCAAAAGGACGGTATCGCAAATGTCTCTTACAAATCCAAATAATAATCAGTCTTTAATGATAACCTAAATTCCCTACAGCCTCAACCTTAACTGATTTGTCATCGCCCCATATAGATGAATCTTTCAGTATCAATTGACTTTTGACTATTCATGCACCCTGCATAGACACACTTATGTGAATAGTGCACCAGAATTTATCCATAAAATGTGTCTTGATATTGAAACTAAATTAACCTCAAAACAAACCAAAGTGAAAAGCGTACTTTTCTTTACATGCTAAGCGTGGTATTTAGTACAATCTCTTTTCATGTGTTCTAAATTTTCACAAAAGAAATAGCCAAATGATTAATCTTTTTCAGGCTTTTACTATTCATTTTGAACTAAACCAAATACAGCTTCCTTATCCTTTAACTGTCCTTGTAGGTATTTGCCAAGTGAGTACTTCTAGTTCTCTCTTGCTTTAGACTTTATTCTTTTTGCACACAATATGAAATAAGCTCATCAAAAGTCTACTTTCCCTTTTGACAGTTGAAACTGACCTCAAATTGACTGAATTGTGCAAGAATAGAATCAAAACCAAATTCATGAGCAAATCATCAGACAACTCAAACTTTAATGCCTTTGATTTTGAAGCAAGATGAGACATTTCAATAATGTACTCATATATATATTTTCTTTAGCCTTATACTTTAGTGAAATCAAGTTCACCGGAAGCATATTAGTTTCGGCATTATCGCCTCTTGGAAAGCTTGTTTTTTTCTATTTCTTTAATAAATTCATTCGCAGTAGTTACATTAGCACCCCTAAATGTTACTGGAATTTCACACTTCATGATCATAAGACTCATGCAGTTTAAACGATCCTACTTATTTGAATCCCATTTTTAATTAGTGAAACTCTTATCCGTAAGAATAGTGGATTATTCAGTCCTTGACGTAAGGTCTGGATATATGCTGTCAAGAATGATACAAATATTCTCTTCTCAGCCTTAAACTTTGGTTCAAGTACATGAGATGTTGATATATATTGCAGAAGTTGATGAATTAATCGAATAGAGAACTTAAAAATGAATAACATGTTCATGTAGGAATTCATATTGGACAATCAATATTTTCAAATAATGATGAATCTCATCACAAGAGACTGAACACAACATTGATATTTAGTCTTTGGACAGAAATACCAACTTGTAAGTGGCACTCTCGGTGTAGTAATCAAATATTGACAATAAATTCGGTCAAATATCAAGTCTATCTTTAGACTGACTCAATGTTCACATAATGTAAAACTTTACAATTGTCACATATTTATTATCACATGTGTGTAAATAATTCGACCAAATATTAACCTTCATTTAGGACGGTCAATATTCTCCAGAATTGCATACACACAACCTTCCTAATATTCCAAATAAATTAATTTAGGCAATAAATGTTATTTTGGTAATATATTGTTTTAACTAATCTATTTTAGAAAATTAGTAATCTGAAATAAATTTTAGTTCCGGAATTTGAAATTTGATTGGCCAATTTGAAATCTGAAATTAAAAATTCCCAAAATCTAAAATTCGGAATTTAGGGCCAAAATTCACGTCCCAAAATTGAGAATTCCGAATTATGAATATCAACCCTAAAATCCTTCATTGAATCTTAATGGTTTAACACGAAGTTGGCTCTGATACCACTTGTTAAAATTTTATGAAACTTTAAACTTTATAAAATTAGAAAATATAATTACTTTATTGCCAAGATCCTTCATGTCAAATTACTAAGAAAATTAATAGTGTGGAACATACCTTAATTCTTTTGGGAACGATTTTTTAATACCGAATTTTGATTCCGGATCTTGAATCTTGATTATTGGCTCTTGAGTTCTTGATCTTAATTTTAGCTTCTTGTTCCATAATCTTGACTATCTTACTCTTCAATTTAATTGTTTCAATCATTCTTCTTGATTCTTAATTGTAATTCTTACTTCTTAATTATGGGTTTTTTTATCTTCCTCTTCAATATATTTTCTCTTATATTCTTGTGTTGATGGAATGACACAAAAAATGAAAAGTTGCATATGAATTGGGAACCATAATCTTATTTATAGTTTTCATATGTATTTGGATCATCGTCAAATACAATCCTAATCGATCTGGTCTCTACACATAATCCGGTCTACACTTATTTAGATATCATAAGCCCAACAATTTAATTCTTTATTAGATCACTTTGATTGGGCTCAACTTTAAAATAGTTTTAGGGAAAATTAAATAGACCAAGTTTTTAAACTTCAAAGTGCAAAAATCAGATGTGAAAATTTTTTAATCAAAATTCAGGTAATTAAATATTATACCACCTAAACCCTAATTTTACTTCATCCTCCTCCCTTTTCCCTCTTTCCCCTCTCTCCCTCATCTCTTTCTGCCTATTGTGCGGCAGCTCCTCCTCCTTCCCCTCCCCCTCTCTCCCTCGTCTCTCTCTGCCTGCTGTGAACGGTGACAGAATTGCAACGCTACCGTTCACCTTTCACTTTCTCTCTCTACCCCCAACACTCTTCCTTCTCTCTAGAATATGCTCTCCCAACTCGCACTTAAATATGCTCCAAAAACTGAAAGATTATTTCCCCATTGACTGTACGTAAATTGACTAGCCAGCTTCACCCGTGTTGGATTGTTTCTCCCATCAAACATTCCATGACGTAATAGTAGGCCGGCGAAATCTCAGCTTTTAACACAACTATCATTACAATGACTATTTTCCACGTAGAGGCCGATTAGGCTTCTTCGAGTAACAAGAGTTCCATTCACCTCCATCCTGTGCATCCATAGGATAATCCACACCCATATCTCCTCTCTCTTGCATGCCTTCGTATTTACAACAATCTTCACTCTTTGTGCACTTCAATTTCCTCTCCCACCACGCTGGTATATCCCCAAGAGCAATCTCAACTCCTAAGGATGTCAATAATGGCTTCTTAAATGCATCACCCCAGTCAATGGATAACCTGGGACACGCAATCTGAACCAAGCATCCACTGCATCTCCAAATAGCTCAATTTTTTTAGGTGTCAATTCAGAAATCAAAACAACCATATAATCCAAATTCTTTTCCTTCATCTTCTTTTCTAGCCTCTCCAATACCCTTGGTGGCGGACCACCTGGGCTAGGCACACCCTCACATGGGGCGCCTAGCCCACCCATGGGTCATGACCAATTGAGCCTGGAACGTAACTAATTCTATA